GGGTGTTATACGCAAACAATGAATCATGGAACACTACATCAAAAACTAATGATGTAATGTATGGTGACTAACATAATAAAATAAAATAAAATAAAAAAGAAGGGTTCTTATTTCCTGGGTAGGGTCTTGTGGCAAATGGGGTGGCATTCCACATGGACTTTTTTTTCCCCTTAGGATTTATTTATTTATCTGAGAGAGAGAGAGAGTGTGCACTGCATGCACAAGCCAGGGGAGGGGCAGAGGGGAAGGAAGAGAGGAAGAGAAGCAGACTCCACACTGAGCATGGAGCAGGATGCAGTGCTGGATCCCATGACCCTGAGATCAAGACCTGAGCTGTACTCAAGAATTGGATGCTCAACTGACTGAGGCACCCAGGCACCCCAAACATGGACTTCTCCAAACTGCAACTCTGCTAAGGTAGTTTTATCAATGGAGGAAGGTTTCCTTCTTACATGGTAGACCTGTCTGCCTGCTGAAGTGCTTCAAAATCAGTTCCTCATGAAGAAAAAGATGGTTTTTCTCTTGGCTCCTAGAAGAACTAGCTACAGGGGTAGGGGTTGCAGCTTCTAGTCAACACATGAACCTCACCTTTAAGGGAACCACGAGCCCCTGCTTACCTGGACTGGAGAAGGAGGTAGCAGGAAGGGCTCGTGTCTCACAAGCTGTGTCCCATCTTCATGACCTACCTTCTCCAAGGTTCTTTGTTACCTGTAATATGGGGATGATATTATCTGCCCCAAGCCCCTCACAGATTCTTCCTGAAGAACTACGTGTTTATAGATGTAGAAATGCATCCTAAATTCTAAATGTTCAGCTGTGCAAAATGCTTATTAGTATTATTTCCTTCAGAGATTCCTTACTGCCACTTCTTAACCTTATTGTCAGTGCAAAAATAAAAAGTGTTGATGGGCTGGATAGAACTTCATGACTCAGGCATTTGGTGTCCGGAGAATGAGAAGAAAGAAGTACGCTGCAGGAGACACTAAAAATACTGGAGGAAAAAAAGCCAGCTCAAAGAGTTGAAATCAGGATAAACTCAGAAAACTTCAAAGTATATGTTCTTCCTAGTGTTCAAGATTAAACATTAGAAGCACTTTTCAATAACTGGCCTTCGAAGCATTTTGTGAGGAGATTATCCACCCATTTAAGATGAGGAATAGCCTAAGAACCTAAGGGTTTCCAAAAAGGTCATTGTTGGCAGTGAGGTGAAGCGTGAAAAGACAGCAATTCATTTCTTTCGCCCTTTAGGATTCCATTCAAATCCCATCTCTTCTCTGACAGCCTCCCTGACCCACCCAGCAGAGGGGAATTGGTCCTGGCCCTGGCGTTTCTCATCGCTGCCACTCACAGGCATTCACGTGCACTCAAGGTCTTGTGTCGCGAATTTCACTTGTTTGAAATCCAAATGGATTGTCAACTACTTGATGGAAGAGATCATGTCCTACGTGTACTCTGTGTCCTCATAGGGCTTCAGATATTCAGATAGTAGAAGGCACATCACGTCCGGTGGTGCAGTCTGTTTCTAGAAAGTCTTTGTCATACCTAAAGCACACGTGACCAATTGCCCTGTGGCCTAAGTAGTGTCATCTGACTTGATCCATCACTTCCTGGAGTTCCTGTTCCATCTTTATCTCCATTCTCCTCTAGCTTCCTGTCTGTAGCCCCAAGTCAGGATCCTGAATCTTGATCTTGTAGCACCTGCTGGGGCACAGGTTACCGATCCTTGCTTTGGGACCACGGGACTCGTCTCCCCAGCTGCTGGAAGGTTGGCAACGGTGGCTCTCAGCTGGGTCTGGTCTTACCAAATGCCCTCGGCCCAGAGAGCCACCTGAGCCAAAGCCACAGCCCTTCCTGAAGGAGTGTACATAAAAAAGGTGTGGGATGGAAAGGCAAAGGCCTTTCCATCCTTCAAGCCCGATGGGTAGTGTCAGCGTGGGGACTCCTGTGCAATTAGATGTGTACTTTATTGTGACCATGCTGCAGCTTAACACCTCCTCTGCCCAGTACTATCCTGCCTCCTTGGTTTCCCTACACATCAGGCTCCCAAGAGCCCCCTGTGACAAAGTTCCTGCACGCAGCTCTCTGCAGCAGTCCGTTTCCTAGGGAACCCGTTCTATGACAGATCTCACACGTAAATAAGGGAATGAACAATGCCCACAGTACGAGGGACTGGGGAGAGCGCCTCACCTACCGCTGAGCCAGTCCGATCTGGCCAGGGCCCCCAATACCTGGCAGTGAACACAGCGATCAGCCCGGCCGCCACATGCCAACAGAGTGAAGTCTGGCCACCCGTGTCCTCTCCTCTCCATTTCTTCCCTCTGGGACTTTCTGCAGTGATGGACACGCTCCCTCTCTGCACTGTCCAGTTCCAGAGCCATTAGTCCCTGTGGCTGTGGAGCCCTTGGAATGCAACTAGTCTGACTAAGGAATTTAAGTTTTAAAAACTAATGTACATTGAAATATAAACAACCACAGGTGTGCCATGGCTTCCATTTTGAAGAGAGCAGCCCAGCCCTAGATCACGAACCCAGCAGGTCTAGAAGGGCAGTGTCACAATGGCTCTGATTCCACCTGCCTTTACGTCCACTGCCCCATCACCTAGAAATAGCTGGTCTGACTCCTTAAAAGTCATCCTCAGGAGGCATATGTAGGAATGATGTACCAGTAAAGTCTAATCATTCAGTGGCCCAATAATGATTATGGACATTGTTAAATCTCGGTGCCAGAGAGCTTTGTTGTAAGTTCGAGTTGTTTATAACACATAAATCTATCCATGAATGCTTACCCTCATAGTCTTTTATTCTCCTGGCCCCCCGAGGAATTAGATGGAGAGACATGACCTGTGTTTGTGTACAGTTTAAATGAAGGAATACCCCCTTCCCTGATCATATATGTGTATGCATTTGATTAATGCCTTTTTCTTTTTCATTTGGTCTGTAGGATCCCAGAGCTTCAGCTCAATGTTTCATACGTAAGACAGGAAAAAGAGAGCAAGACAGAGCTGCCCTTTTGAGGCAGACGGGCTGGAAACCCACGGGAGACCTTTAGTCCTTCCCTGTTCCGTGGAAAAGGATGATCTCTTATTACTGACCCAGAAATGTCAGATGGGGCCCAGGGTGAGAGCACATGGCTGTACCTGGGCAAGTTCATGACCATCCTGCAAAAAATGACTCCATGTATGTGCCCTCCAGACAAGGAGTCACTCACATCATCCCGTCGGCTGAGAGTCAGTCCTTACAAAATCAGTTTGAGCCACTGAAAACAACTGAAATTGAATTCACTGCAATTTGAAAATATTCTGTTTACTCCAAGCCCAGAAGCCTGGTATGAGAAGAAGTATCCAGGCACAGGCAATGGTAGTTAAATTTGTTCATTTTTCTTTCTTGTTGCAACTTTATCTTTTCCGAGCAATTTAATGAAAACTCCAGAGGAGAGAATTAAATGTCTGCTGGTTCAATTACCAAATAATGAAAAGGTCGAAAGGAGCACCATGCACACTGTGTGCTGAGCTGCTATAAAAGCCTCTTCTTAGAGGGAAAATCTTTTGTGGGCTGTTCACACTTGCATTTTGCCACCCACAAATTGTGCAGACGAGTGTCAGTGTAAGAAGCAGAAATCAAGAGCTGGTATGGGTCGCTCTGCACCAGGGTGAAAAGGCCTGGCCCACGGGAGCATCTCATGATGCCCATGGCAGCAGGTGGAGGCACGGCGGAGGCCAGAGTCTTCATCAGGAGGGACCGTGTTGGCATTAAATCCATCCTTTGAGAAGGTTCTAATCATACTTGGCCCTGAATGCACTATAACTAGCCTGTCCTTAGGGCCACATGCAGGGAAGATCTCGAGGGCCAAAGAGACCTGCCGTCAAGGATTTCAAGGACTCTGTGCAGCCCCCACAGCATTTGAAAAGCCACCCTGCCTCCAACCTGCCCCAACTATTCACAGAAAAGGAAGATTACGGAAACACAAAAATCCTCTACAGAAGCCAAAACCAAAGATAACATAAAACCATGGCTTTTGGGATTCATTTGAACAATGGTTTTAAAGCTTTAAAAAAATCAAGTCTCGCTGGAAATGATATACAAGCAAAGAGGCAGCTCAGTATAGACTCTCCTCGCCTCAACACCCACAGTGATGGTCTCTCGGCTCATGCTGGGGCCTCTCCAAAACCTTTTGATCCGTAACACCGAAGGACTCAATGGACAAGTCATTTTCACCTTTAAATTAAGTTCTTCTTTGGTTACATAAGAGAATAGCGTCATTCCTAGGAAATATACACTGAAATGTGTAAGGACAAAAAGCTATGATGTATATCACTGGCCCAGAGATAAAAGTATATGTGTGGGCACCTGGGTGGCTCAGTCGGTTCAAGCGACTGACTTGATTTTGGCTCAGGTCATGATCTCAGGGTCATGAGGCCAAGCCCCGCATGGGGCTCTGTGCTGGGTGCAGAGCCTGATTAAGATTCTGTCTCTCTCCCTCTCTCCCTGCCCCTCCACCCCCTACTTGTGCATGTGCTCCCTCTCTAAAAAAAAAAAAGTGCATGTGTACATCCATCTCTATCTCTTACCCACATAGATGTAAACATTTATACACACGTGTATACATATCCGTGTGGAGGGGATGAGAAAAGCAAGAGTCAATGATAAAGCACATGGGGTAAAATGGTGAACAACTGTTGAATCTAGGTAAACAGAATTTGGGTAGCCTTTGAAATATTCTTATTTTTACAACTTACCTATAAGTTTGAAATTATTCCAAGTTTCAAATTGTATAAAAAGTTTTAAATAGTTTAAAAAGTTTTAAAATTTTAGGGGCGTGTGGGTGGCTCAGATGGTTAAGTGTCTGCATTCAGCTCAGGTCATGATCCCAGGGTCCTGGGATCGAGCCCCGCATCAGGCTCCCGGCTCAGTGGGGACCCTGCTTCTCCCCCTCCCTCTGCCTCTCCCCCTGCTCATGCTCTCTCTCTCTCTCTCTGTATCTCTGTGTCTTGAATGAATAAATTAAAAAAAAAAATCTTTAAAAAGTTTTAAAATTTTAAATTCTTTCTCTTTTCTTCTCCTGTGGATGAGCTTCTTGCTAGAGACCCTTATAATTATACAGCAGCCACACCCTGGGTAAAAGTGCCCACAAGGGCAGCCCCACTCTGTGAGAAGGACAACAATCCTGCTGATGAGGATTCTCTTGGGGAAACCAGTCACACAGACGGTTCTAGAATGGCTCCTCCCATGGTGTACTGATGATTACTGAGAGCTTATGCTGGGGTTGGAGACGGATTATGGCTAGGAAATGCAAGGATGTCTCTAGCTAATTTCTTCCTGTTTTTCCTTAAAATACTATAACCATGGGTATTAGGTTTTCAAGGTTTTAAAAAGAACTGATACGTCTCGAATCATCTTAAAATATATGCAAAAAAAACTGTATGAGAAAAAGAAGATCCCTGAATTATTTATGCCACTCTTTTTGTGGGGTGGTGTCTGATACAAGAGACAACAGGATCAATCTCTTATCAGAATAGAACCTCTCTGAAGATAGGTGTAGACCCTAATCAGTACGGTTACTCTTAAACAGAATTGTGGGATGCAATTGAATGTAAGTATGATTAAATGAGCAGCACCTGAGACAAAGTTCTATGCTTTCTATGCTCACCCCCTTATCCTTAGGAATGCACTTTAAGATCTATGAAAATCTAAGAGGAGGCACCTTTAACTATAGGGTTCTCTCCTCATAAGTTTATATTCTCTTCTCCTTTTTTAGAATTCCATACTTAAAGTCTACTAGGACCATAAAGAAAAAGTAAAGGGGAGGTATGAACTGTAAAAAGTTATTTTCCACACATAGAACCAAACAGGATTAATATCCAGAATATAGAAATCATTCCTACAAATGAATTAGAATTAGAAAAATAATTCAAAATAAAAATTGTCCAAAAAAAAAAATGAACAGGTATTCCATAGAAGAGAATGGCCAAAACGCTCTGCAAAGATGCTCAAAGTCATTATTAAGTGGAAAATGCAAATTAAAACTGCAAACATCAAGTCATAAATACCAGATGGGCAAAAATTCCAAAGCCTGACAATATCAAGTGCTGACAGAATTGCAGAACAATGGCATTCTTGGTTACTACTGGAGAGAGTGAAAACCGGAAGAGCCACTTTGGAAAACAAGTGAGCATTACAGAGCAGAGTCGAAGGTAGGCCTGTCCTCTGACCCAACAATTCTACTGATGGGTATGTGTTGAGGAACTCTAGCAAAGATGTAGTGGGGAGTGCTGTGCAAGAATATTCCTAACAACACTTTTATAATGGAGGCCATCCAAAGTCTGCCAACAGAACAGTGAGCAAACAACTTGAGGCATTTCATACAAGGGAACATTCTCAAGCACTGAAGATAAAGAAACAACAGTTGTTTGCATCCACAAAATGATCATCGGGAACATAATGTGGGATGAAAAAAGCAAATTATAGAAGAATGCATACATTATGATTCTATTTATGGAAAGTTCATAAGGGATTCGTTTTTAGGGACAGAAATACATGTGGTAAAACTCTATAGAACAAGGGAATGACAAACAAAAATTCAAGATAGTGCTTACCTCTGTTTAGAGCAGAAAGGAAAAGCAATCGGGACAAGATACATGGACCTTTAATGGAAATGCTAATGGCCTATTTCTGAAGAGAGGTACAGGGCCCACATTCATTGTATCATGATCCTTTACACTTACACATTTTACAAATATTCTTTTGCATGTATCTAATTTTCAGTAAAAACTTTTAAGAACTTGTGAAGTAGCAAATGACCAAAAATATTTTATCCAACGTTTGTTGGAAGGGAAAAAGCATATAACAACATGCCAGCCATTAGGCTCTTGCACTCTTCCTTTCCAAACATGCCCCACTGGTCTACTTGTCTCTGGTCCCTCTTTGCTCACTCAATCCAAAGCCAACCATCACCCTGAGCTACTGGTTGTCCGGGGCTGGGAGAATATTATGCGAAGTTCATCAGAAGGAACGGCCAAGCTTCTCTCTCTGTCATCCTATCCCTCATTAAAACTCAGGCCTCCTCCAGCTGTGAATGACAGGCACATTACCCTGTTCATGCACGTGCACACATACATCCATTCTCTGCAGCCTGATTGTGTTATTATTATATCCAAGTATTACTGAAAGCGATTGTTACCTGACTCTTGACTTTGACTTATTCTCTAATATTTGTATACATTTCATAATGGTAATAGAGTGCTATATTAAAACAAAGCATCTCCCTATCCTCCAATCGGAGCCTGAAATCTGAAAAAGCTCCCTGGAACACAGACATCTATGTTCCAAATACAACCATGTAGCAATAGCTCCTTAAGCCCAAAGTAAAATTTAAAGTGAGTGGTAGAGCTATTGTCCACACAGCACTTAAGAACGAAATAAATCTAGCTCCAGGGAAGTCTGACTCCTCACCTCGGTAGGTCATTAAAGATAAGAAAACATTCATCTCTCCCAGGCCCACCTGCCACCCAGTGGATGGGGATGAAGAAAGTTTTGCTCTATTTTCAGTATCATGAAATGTTTTAAAAACTTGTTTGCCTATCATGCCTACAGCGAAGTCTGGCTTCTTGCAGCAGTAAAATCCCAACAGGAAAAAAAAATCAGACTGGTGAAAAAATTCTCCTAAATGACCTACCTGGAAAAGCCTATCAGCCAGACCCCTGAAGCTGACCGAAGACCTACTTAGTAGCCGCTGCAAAAATGCGACCACTTACCTCAGCATATTGTGCGACTGAACTGGCTTCAACAGCATACACTCTCCTAGCTCCAGCCTGTACAGCAAAAAATGACAGTATTCCTGATCCGCAACCAACATCTAGAACAACCTGGAGGAGAAAGCAAAGACAACAAAGAGGTGAGAACACACGCAGGTATCCTGGCCCCATGCCAACTTTGAGCCTTGCCATCAGACTTAAAGTACGAGCTTTGCTATTTATAAGTGGTCTTACCTTGGCCAACTCATGAATCTCTGTGAGACTCCTTTTTCTCAGATGTTTGATCGGCTTAATAATACCCACTTTTTAAGGTTTGCTACAGGGATTAATGAACATAAAATGTATACAAATCACTTGGCACCTAATTGGTGTTTTTCAAATCATTGCTCTTATTATTATAGTTTCTTTGTAGCATGGATTGCTTTTGGGATGTTTAGGGCCAAGAAAAGTAAAGTGTCATGAATGAGCTTGCTTATCAAATCTGTTAGCATGAACAAAATGAAAACTGTCACCAGTTTTTATATGTTTTGTATGTTTTACATATATAATTTTATATAAATAAATATATTTTTTATTTATTCAGAAATAACTGAAGATAAAGCCTTTAAAAATCCAAAAGTGAGACATGTGCTTGTTTTTTATCCAGGCCCCTCCACAAAGTTGGGGAGGTTTATAAATGGAAGGTAGGAGGGTATTAAGACAGTGGACACATGGAATCTACAGACACTTTTCTTCTTTTCTCTGTGTTCAGACCTGGGACTTAAATCAAGAAAATCACCATTCACTTGTGCACTCACAAGCACAAGGGCCCAAGACTTGGGCCGACACGCTAAGAGCAAGCGGTGGATGGCATGTATTGGGTCCCCTCCCCAAACACTGCCGAAGCCAAGGCCCAAATCTCAATCTGATCACTGAAATTTCAGGCTACGGGGTTCCTGCCACATCAATGACTTTGACTCTTAGCATCTTTCAGCACTAGCTTTGAGCAAGACATTTTGATTGGCTCCAAATGCTTACAATAAACATTTGAGTAAATAGCATTATTTTGTCTAATTCAGAGATGACCAAATTGAAGTGCAGATTGACCAACCAGCCCAAGTTCACTTAGCAGCAGACAGGGGAGTTAGGACTTGACTCTGGGTATTTCTGCCTTCACCCAAGCTCATGTCCATGAAACCATACACTGTTTACTTAAATTCATCTTTATAAATCTGACATTTTAATACAACGATACCAACAGGTGATGTTTGACAAGGAAAAAGAGTATTACTTAGTATTACTTTTTGTAGGAAATTTAGGAAAGATTCTTTTTTTACTTGATAGCAGGAAAATTTTTCCAAAAAAAAAAAGGACCTATCAAGACGGTGTGTGTGTGCGTGTCTGTGGGTTTTAAGCGCAGTACCACACTGTGCTGACGCAGATACCATGCCGTTATTCTAAGAGAGCATGCTGTTAGTGACGGGTTCACAGTGCTCACTTACATTAATGCTAGAACTGCGGCTGGATTCCATACGGTTTCCTAGGGTTTGGGTAATTAGGAGCATTACCAATTTAAAATGTCACCCAGGCTCTGGAATTTGCTGTCAGGCTGTCTATAACTTTTAGAAATACCAACATTCCCTTCCCCTCATCCTCCCTTGGAAAGACATCTTCACATGGGTCCCGCTCCGTTCCAAGAACACCTATGACCACGGTTTAGGGACGGAAGGCCATTAAGGTAGACGGTACAATCCACAGCCCCCCGCCCCCGAAAAAAGATACACCAGATCCAAAAGAACCTTTCTGGAGCCTTATTCAATAAAAATATAAAACTTTAGATTCCATGTTCAGTCCAAAATATGGATGCAAAATTAGGAAACAATGGAAATTGCACCTGCTTGCTCTGGCGACAGGTGCCCTAGAAATGAGTGAATGGTGTTCTTTTTCTCTTTTATTAGGGTGCTTGAAGCACATCTTAGAACAGTGTTTTTCAGTTCCTTGACCCTGCAGATTAAAACCAAAGCAATGTCTGCCACTAGGAGAGAGAGGAGAGAGGTGACAGGGAGAAAGAGAAAAAGGTCAGAGATGGGAGGGAGCCTGATGTATGTGGTTCAACCTCTGCCAAATCAGTCCATTTGGTAGAAGATGCTCTAACAGACCCAGACCATACCTAGAAAAGAGAAGAAAAATTACAAACTAAGGCAATTTTCCAAATACCTTATTTCAATAGCTAATTTCAGGCCAAAATAACCTTATTCATTTGGTTATTTCAAAACAGAGCGTAGGCCTTGGAAAAACAGATAATGTCATCTGCTTTCCACTTGTGTATTTAAAAAATTAATAAAGCAATTTTCAGTCTGGGGCTGATAGGAGATGGTGGGGAGTGAAAGGAACATTTTGCCTTGTCTATGTAAGCCACGCAACATTGGAAAAAAAGCTTTGGTGGGCTTAGAATAAATTCTCTGGTAAAAAAAAAAAAAAAAGGCTGAAGCAAATATTTAGGCTCTAATGAAAATATACTATCCTTTCCAGCCGGGGTTTCCAAATCTGGGAGAAGAGAGGACGCTAACACAGATAGGGTTTCTAAAGGACGTTCTCCTGACACTATTTGATCATCAAGCCTCCTTGGGATGGGAAGTACATAGTTTATCCCCGTTTTATTGATAAGGTAACTGAGGCTTGGAGACACCGCTTCCAGCTCAAGGTAACATGGCCGGTAAGTAGCAGGGTCAGACAGTGGTTGGCCTCCACACCACTGGGGCCTTCTTCTGTGTATCAAAAGATGAGAGGAAAGGGTGTACCGTGTAGAGATGAAAATCCGATCACATCACACCCTAAGCAGACACCACCAAGGGTGCTACACAGCTAAGGGGAAGGTCCCCGTCTCCTTGGAGTGTTGTCCTTGGGCCTCAGAAATCCAGCCCTGAGTGACTTTCCTGGCCTCTTTTTCTGTAATTCTCCTCTTGTCCGCCCCACCCCTCCCAGGCTCAGCAACTGCATGCCTTTCCCTGATTCTAGGCTCACTCGTGTGCCATCCTCTGCCACAGAGGCAGCTGACAGCCCCCCAGAGGTTCATGCTCTCTCAGAGTCCACAGCTCTGTGTGGCCATAGGACCACTTCGGCTCAGTGGAGTGTGAGGGGAATAATCAGGGTCCCTTCTGGGGGAGGGTGGCCGAAGGTACACTGTGCCTTCCCCACGCTCTCTGCTCCTTATGAAGCGGCACTGGAAACCAGCTCCTAGAGCTAAAAGGAGCCCAAACCCCTGGGTCACCCCTTTGGGAAGAGCCACTCAGAACACACTGGGCATGGCAGGAGAAAGAAAGATTTCATTACGTTAAACCACTGAGATTTAGAGACAGTTTGCTTTAGCAGTTGGATTACAGCTGGGTGAAATCCCTCATCTCATTTTTCTACCTGGGGAAGTGAAGACCAAGCCCAGAGATCACATCTTTGGGATGCTTCCTCTCACCTCCCCACACAGTCAGTCTAGGCTGGGCTCTGTGTGCCTGGTACATAGCTCTCCAGGAGAGCTTATTACAGGATACTGCAAGTACTTCTTTATGTGTTTGCCTTCCCTGCTGAGCCCATGAGCTCCCCAGAGACAAAAATCACATCATTTATCTCTCAGCCCCTAGTACAACAGGAAAACAAAAACCATTAATAAATATTTGTTAACTAAATGACTGAATGCAATGACTTAATAGGGCAGTCTCCTCATTCCAACATTGTCTTGAACTATCTCTGGAAAAGGCTTATGACTTTTTCCAGCCATTTGAACTCTGGGAGTGTCCTTGCATGCAAAGCTAGCAACCAAAGAGGCTAAGCCCAGGATGCCCTTGCCTTATTAAAGACTTATATCCTGAACTGTTTCCCCCAACCTTACCTTCTGCTTCCTGGCCTATTTCTTATTTCTTGGCCTCCAAGCCACCTCACAGACCTGACATTTATACTGTTTCTCTTCATGATCTCTGTCCTTCCTCCTTGACTTTGATCCCAACGTGTCCCCTGGGTCACTCTTGTGACCATCTGAGGCAGGCTTCTTGGAAGGTTCCATGTTCCTTTCTGCCTCAGGGCCTTAGTATATGCTGCTTCCTTTGTGTGGGGTGCTCCCCGCTGCACACTCTATGATACCAGTCTATGGCAAATTTTTTTTTTACCTACTCAGTGCTAATTGTGCTGGATCTTTTCTATTTGCGTCTCTAGATCTGTGCTCCACTCTCCTCCACCTGCTCTTTGTCAGGAGGCTAACCTATGTGGACTGCACCAATGGCTTCCTTGCCATTGGACTCCAGGTGGGAGCAGTCAAGAGAAAGGACAACAGGAAGTCAAAGTGAGGACAGTGAGGTCAGATGACTTATTCTCCTGGTTTCCTCCTTCCTGGGTCTCCATGGATTGGATGTCCCCGCTACCCAAAGCCACAGTTCCTACTGGGCTTCCATCTTTACAGCTATGACCATCCTGTCCAGTCTCCACTCTTGCTAGTGCCAGGCTGCTTCGCTTCCCTATGCTGGCTCCCTTAACTGTGCCCATATCTTGGTGTGCAGTCCTGTTATTTAACTCTCCTAAAGCACTGTGTCGGCTGTGCCATCTCTCTCCGGCAGAGTCCTTGGCTGATACACCAACTCATCCTTCAGATTTCAAATGGCTCTCCATGACAGAAGACATCCCTACTCTTTGCTCCCCTCCCAAGCGAAGTAAAGTCCTCCTGTTGTATGCTTTCTTATCATCACCTCCTCATGCCCTTCCTTTATAACACTCATCACAGTTATAGTTTTCTATCCAATGAGTGATTATTTGATTAATGTCTGCTCCCCTGGACTGTGAGGTTGATTAAGGGAGAGACTTCCATCTGCTTCTCACCCACCACTGAATCCCTGATAATTGCACAGGGTCTGGCACATAGTAGAGACACTCACTAAATCTCTGTTGAACAAACTAAATACATAAAAATGTGTCTCACCGGGGCGCCTGGGTGGCTCAGTTGGTTAAGCGACTGCCTTCGGCCTCAGGTCATGATCCTGGAGTCCCGGGATCGAGTCCCGCATCGGGCTCCCT